CTGACACTGACTTTCTAATGGAAAGTCACAAGCGTGTCATCAGAAAAACTACCTCAAAAAAACGTTACCTTTCAAACGGCCCGGCAGATCAATAAGCACACATTTCCCCTTTTTCAGAGAAAAAAGAGGAAGTGCACAGACCGCATTATAGAGCAGTGGGAAGATGAGGAAGGATGGGAATGTGGAAACCACAATCTCGTTGCGGCACAGGGGCTGAGAGCCCCCTCAGCTCCCCTGTCCCTCTGTGACAGGGGCTCGTGGAACAACAGGGGCCACAAGCTGAGGCGGAAAGTCTCAACGCCTTCCTCACACAAGCACCTCAGAGCTGGTAGCATTTCCCAGCGCCACAGACAGTCGTCTTCATTTCTAAATGTAACTTGAGGTTTCCACATTCCTCAACGTGATTTCTATACTTCACAATGAAATTACCACTTATGTGGAACACTGCAATTTTATTTTCTAATGAAATGATAGAGGAAATAAGATTCAATATGTAGCCATTGTGTTTACAATAAAATTTTTCAATTTTTTCAATATATACTCTGCATTTTGAGACATAGGCTTATATTGGGTTGGCCAAAATATTCACTGAGCTTTTTCCATAAGATGGCTCTGGTAGTGCTTAGTTGTATTTAACTTCATTCCAAACAATTTTATTTGGATTGTACTGTGACAGCTGTCATATCAGCATGCATTTAAAAAAACTTATTAAAATTGGTGAATTTTTGTGCAGCTATTTTAATACTGAAAGTAGAAGATATGCAACATTTTTGGCATATTATGCTTTATTATTTCCAGAAAGGTGAAAATGCAACAGAAATGCAAAAAAAGATTTGTGCAGTATATGGAGAAGGTGCTGTGACTGATGAAGCGTGTAAAAGTGGTTTGTGAAGTTTTTTGGTACTATTGACATTTTGACCAAATAATTCTTTGCTGTGGGGCTGTCTTATGCATTGGAAGTAGTTTAGTAGCAGCCCTGGCCTCTACCCATCAGAAGCCTAGAGCAGGAGATGGCCAACAGACTCAAAATACCCAAATCAATCAAATTATTGGTGAAAAATGAAAAATACATCTTTCATTGTATGGAAAAAATGTAACGGACTTTTTGGTCAACCCAATATATCATTCAATTGAGATTGCACTTGCTGAGAACTAGTTCGAATGTATAGACAGGATTTTATTTCATGAACAGAAAAGCGTTAGTCAAAGTGAAAACAGTGACATTGCCTAAGAGGTCAAATACCACAAAACTAACCATTTTGAGTTTATAGTAATGTTCGGGACAAAGAAATACATCAAGTATCTTCAATTGGTAGAAAGAAAGGTAATTTCGACTAAATAGAAATATGAAATCTCATTTCTGGCTTGCTAACCTATTGCAATTTACCCAGTAAAAGAGGAAAGAGCCTAACTTGAAAAAGTCAAAACTTCTAGTTAAGATGGCATTGCAGGCAGACATGGCACAAGCACATCAAAATTACAACTGAAATATAGAACCACCATCACCCAGGAGCATCAGAAATCGAGGTGAATGGAAGTCTGACAATTACGGAATTGAAGAAGCCACACCCATCCAGACTGGTAGAAGGGGTGCGGAAGCAGAGAGGGCTGGCCCCACACCCATGTGGAAAAAAATTTGGGAGGGATATTTCAGGAGCAAGGAGTCCCAGCCCCACAATGAGTCCCCCAGCCCAGGGTTCCAGTGCCAGGAAGATAAGTCCCCACAACTTCTGGCTGCGAAAACCATGGGGATGGAGTTGGTGGAGGAGGTTGCTGGAGCGTCAAGCAGTTCCTCTTAAAGAACCCACACACGGACTCACCTACTCAGACTAACTCCCTCTGAGCTCCAGCCCTGGGGTGGCAGCTAGGGCACCAGTGGTGTACAGGGAGAGACTGAAGTGTCTGGCATTGGGCGAGCAGGGGCCATAGCCCCTTGGCTAAACCTTCCCCCAACAGGGCAGGTAGGCTGGTGCTACATCTGAGACTCCATTGAACTGGCTAACACTGTGTGACCCACCTTGGAGATCCACAGAGGCTGTACCTCACCCAAGTTACAGGCCCACCCAAGCTGCTTTTCTGTAAGAATGGCTGGTCTTGGCTCCTAAATCCTACCAAACAGGCAACAGCCGGCTTTAGTAAACCCTAGCAGCAGCCAGATTAGAGTCACAGCTTGGATTCGCCTGGGAATCTCCAAGCCCAGCACAAATAGCAGCCATCTCAGACTACTTTATAGTTCAGCAATGTGGGCCCCAGGAAAAACACAGGTGGAAGCTGACCTTGGCCTGTACCACCTGGGAAACCCCAGGACCACTTTCTCTTGGGAAACCCCAAGAAGTGGACAACTACTGACCACACTGGAGCACCACTACCCTGCCCCTGCACAGCTGATCCTCCACAGAGGGCAGTGGTCAGTGGTCACAGCTAGTCCTTGCAAGCGACTAGCCTGGGTAAATCCCTCCCCTTGACCTGCCAATGGCAACCAAAGCTCAACTAAAAGAGGAGGGTGTACTCAGCCCACATGAAGGGCACACCTCAAGTACACAGCTTGGGTGATAGGGGAGGCTGTGCCACTGGACCCTATAGGACACCTATTACATTGGGCCGCACAATCAAGACATGGAAGCAAAGCAGCTCTACTACACAGAAGCAAACACAGGGAGGCTGCCAAAACAAGGAGACGAAGAAACATGGCCCAAATGAAAGAACAGACCAAAACTCCAGTAAAACAGCTAACGAAAATGGAGATAAGCGATCAGAGGCAGAGTTTAAAACACTGTTTATAAGGATGCTCAAGGAACTTAGTGAGGACCTCAGCAGCATAAAAAAGACCCGGTCAGAAATGAAGGATACACTCATTGAAATAAAGAATGATGTGCAGGGAAACAACAGTAGAGTGGATGAAGCCAAGAACCAAACCAGTGATTTAGAACATAAGGAAGCAAAAAGCAACCGTGCAGAAAAACAAGAGGAAAAAAGAATCCATAAAAATGAGGATAGTAAAAACAGCCTCTGGGACAACTTCAAGAGGCCCAATATTTGTATATAGGGGTGCCAGAAGGAGAGGAGAAAGAGCAAGAAATTGGAAATCTATCTGAAAAAATAGTGACAGAAAACTCCCCTAATTTGGTGAAGGCAATAAACATGCAAGTCCAGGAAGCACAGATAGTCCCAATTATGATGGATACAAAGAGGCCCACCCCAAGACACATCATAATTAAAAGGCCAAAGGTTAAAGATAAAGAAAGACTCTTAAAAGCAAGAGAAGTTAGTACCAGAAGGTTGCCAGATGGAAGGGGAAGGGGGAGGATGGGTGAAGAGGTGAGAGGATTAAGAAGTACAAATAGGTTGTTACAGAATAGCCCTGGTATGTAAAGTACAGTATAGGAAATGGAGTAGGCAAAGAATTTATACACGTGACCCATGGACCGGAACAATGATGGAGGTATTGCCTGAGGGAGGAGCGGGCACTGGGTGGAGGTGGGCAAAGGGGGAAAAAAATCAGGACAACTACAGTAGCATAACCGGTAAAATGTAATTTAAAAAAGAAAGGTCAAAATAATTAGCAGCACCATGTCTTTATTTTTACGCATTTAGGGGAGCCAGGTAGCTGGCTGGCTGAAGGGAAGGGATGTGGTTAGCTCTGTAAACTTTAGCCTAAGACACTAACACCTTTTTAAAATAGAACAATGTTTTCCTTCCTGAGTGGAGGTAAGTAATCTAGTTTGGGGTTTTGGATGGCGTGTCTACTTGATCACTGCTTACTAATCTATGAGATTATCAAAAACTACTATGAGATACACAGACCATACAAACCATATGCCTTCCTTCCCATTACCTCCAATCACTCATGGTAGAGCCTGGGGGACGAACACCCTGGGGGACAAGCCAGGAGTCACAGACTGTGCAAACCCCCTTGGACTAAATTCTGAAAAAAAGTGTTATCTTGTCCACAATTGTGTTTGCCAGGAATCATCAGAATTGCAACAGGGTTTAATTAACTCATGGAGAAATGTTCATTAACACCCCTTTGCACACCCTTCCAACCTTTAGAGAAGGGGTGTGCAAACTTAAATGGCCAGAGAGTAAGTATTTTAAGCTTTAAGGGGCCATAGGGTGTCTGCTATACCTACTCGACTCTGCACAGCAGTCCCCAAACACTCACATGCACACAAGGGAGTGTAGCTGCATTCTAATAAAACTTTATTTACACACACACACAAAAAAGGAGCTGGCGCATTGGCCTGTGGGCTACAACTTGCCAACCCCTGCTGTAAAGCGATGGTTCTCAAACACCAGCTATACATCGGAATCACCCGTGGAACTTGTTGGAAAGGTAGGAGCCTACACCCCAGCCCACTGCTACAGCATCAGAATCTCTAGGGATGGGACCTGGACATCAGCAATTTATAAGGTCCACAGGTGACATGTGGGCCATGCTTTGAAAGTCGCTGTGGTATGTGAGATGGCCCTACTGTCCTAGATGTGGCCCAGCACTTCCTGCACTCTGTGGCAGTAAAAAGACAGTTGTTTTGTCTTTCTCTGACCTTTCTAATGGAAGAGCACATGAACGAACTGCTATTTTTCTTACTTCCAACCTTGAGAAAGCATAAAATAATTCTGCTCAGGGGAAATTAACATGAAATTTAGGTTATGAATTTAAAAGAAAATCTTCAACTTAAAGTAACAAGATTTCCCCACCAAAAACCTCCCAGAAATCCTTTTGACTACAAAATTAATAGAAAAGATTCTTAACCAAAGACAGGGCAAAATCTGAAGGAATAGTTGACCGTGTGCTCTCTCTTCCCCAGAATGACTCCAGCAAAAGCCTGCCCGGGTTGCCTGGAATTCCACTATTAACAAGTCATTGCTTCGTGTCTAGAGGTCTTTGCTTCAACAGAACCTCATTAGCACTCACATAAAAACAGAAAGTGTAAAATCTCTGTGGGCCTCTGGAAGCTGCTCCCAACTTTATCAATAGAAAAATAAAGTATACAGCCAAGTTCAGTAAGTGTTTGTTTTGTTTTTTATTTGGTTGTTCATCCGTTTTAATTGCCAGAAATCGATCACCTGATCAGTCAAAGAGAGAGATGTTCAGGTTGGGAAACAGTTCCGCCTCCTCTTCAGCTCTCCACATTTTCCTGGGAAGGACAAGGAGTACGCAGCAGTCAAAGAGGCAGTCATTGGGAACTTCCTAAGGAAACCAGAGATGACCTACAGGTACCCACAGGGAACGCAGCTCCCACTAGGGCTTCTGCTGACCGTGGCAATGAAGGGAAGTGCTCTATGAGAGCAGAGGCTCCGATGATGACTAAGACATGGGCTTAGAGCACCTGCTGTAGTTCTCACCCCAGCAGGCAACACTAGTTGTTTTTTGTTAGATAGCAAATACTAAGATGACTCTGAACTGCCTCAACACACCCCCGAAGATGTTAGGCAAAGAAGACCCAGGAATTCACCAGGGGACAGGGTGAAGCCAGGCTGAGACTAGAACTCAACCACAATACCCTTTACAGATGTGTAGGGCTTGGAAATTTGCTTTATACACTTAGCAGTCAGTATGTCACATGGCATGACTCTGGAGTCCAATGTCCACAGGCTGAGCTTCTGCGAGCTCATGGCAAAAACCATCCTGGCATTTTTAGCAAAGTAGGGAGGCATGTTTTCCTGCTCGGCTTCCAACTTACAGGAAGAATCATAAATTGGAGTCCCAGGTATCAGTCCCAGGCATCAGTAGCAAATGCCTAGCAAAGCCAGGGGCCCCGACATACTTACCCAACCTCCCTGGCCCTGGATGAACTTCCGGACGGCGCCATTCCCATTGATCATATTTGTTATGGGGCTCACCACCTGTCTTGCCATTTCAGGAGCCACGTGGGCCACACGTTCAAGGAGTTTCACTGACACTGCCAAAAACGCTATCACATAATCTAAGGTAGAATCCTGAGCACGCCAGGTATTGACGAGAGTGTCTACTGTGTTCTGAAGAACAGCTCCTACCTGGGGAGAGACATGGGACAGGACCAATGCAATATCACAAGAAAGTGCAGGAGGCTGCAAGTACAGGAACCCAGGAAAGCAAGTGTTTCCCAGAGAGTGGCCAGTGTACCACTGGTCGTAGCTAGGTCATCTTAGGGAGTAAATGGATTGGCTTTTCTCATTTTAGTTTTATATTGACTGTAATAGCTTTCTGAAAAGCCAGAAGCAGACCCATGATTTCAGATAGCATTGCCTCAGATGCACCAAATGATTGAAAAAGAAACAAAATGATTCAAGAGAAAATTATGAAGTACATGATAATACAACTGATAAAACTGTGCGGGTATTGCTTGAATGACTGAAGTCTGGGAATCTCTAAAGTAAATATATATATCTATATATATAGATTTGCTTTTCCTTTGTCCTTCCCAAAAAATCTGGTTAAAAGCCATTAGGTAGGGCCAAGCAAGATCTTATTGCACTGTAGCGTAGGGGCGACCCACGGCAGTCAGAGCAGGCTGCCAGAGCCCAAACAAGCTGAGAAGGGCATCCATGTAAGAGTACCTAAATCTTCATACCCAAATATGGTTTCCCATAAAAAGAAACCAGACCTCCCTAGAGGATGGCTGACTTCCGGATTGGGACTGCAAAAGACAGGTCTCCTGTTAGTAATTAAGGAAGGACTCGGAGAATGACAGGGACATGCTGAAAAGGCACAGTTCAGACTGAAAGAACTCCCACTGGCCAGAGCCGGGGCAATGTGAGCATTCAAATAAATAATGATAGTAGCCCTGGCTGGTGTGGCTCAGTGAATTGAGTACTGGCCTGAGAATCAAAGGTTGTCTGTTCGATTCCCAGTCAGGGCACATGCCCCGGTTGCAGGCCAAAGTCCCCAGTAGGGGTGTGTGAGAGGCAACCTCACATTGATGATTCTCTCCCTCTCTTTCTCCTTCCCTTCCCCTCTGCCTAAAAATAAAAAAAGTCTTTAAAAAAATAATGATAGTAACACATTATAACCCACTGAATGAGGTAGGAATTCATGAGTTGATGTATAAAATAAATGAACAGACTGAAATTGTGATGGGCTGTGGGATATTTACATGGTTTCAAAGTCCCTCCCTACTAAACTCGTAATTACAAAAGTGAAAAGAGCAGGTTGACAGCGGAGAACGCTCGCAGACTCCGTTTTCAGTGACTGAAGTCACCACCAGGGATGGGACAAACTGAAACGAGTGCCGCTCGATGGCACGAGAGCGACGCAACACTTCTGTGATTCTCCTACCAGAGCTGTGTCTCCCGAATCTGCTTACGAGAAAATGCCACACACACCCACATTAAGGGGAATTCTACAAAATAACTGAATCATATAACCTTCAAGCATCGTGGCCATGAAAATCAATGAAAGACTAAGAGATTACTCCAGATTAAAGGAGACTCAAAGGGCATAACTTAACTGCAATATCTGATTCTGGCCTGTATCTTTTTGTTGTAAATGACTTCATTGGAACAATTGGCAAAAGTGAGTGGGATCTTAGGATGGGATGAAAATGTATCCTTGATAATTAATTTCCTGGTGCTGATGGTTAGATTGTGGTTACATAACAGAATGTCCTTGCTTCAAGGAAATATAACAGGATTATGGGGGTGATGAAATATCATGTTTGCTACTTAGTATCAAATGATTCGAGCGGGAAATTCTTTGTACAATATACACAGCTTTTCTGTGAGTTTGAAGAAACATTTCTAATTAAAAAAATGAAAAGTAGATTCAGCTCTCAGCTACCTAGGAAAAGCATCCGTGCAAGCAGTCAGGTGTTACAGAGCTAGTCCTGCCAGAGTGTCGAGGAGGCACACCGCCCAAGCTGTATTAAGCAGGAAGAGTAAAGCATAATGGTTCTGGGATCAGTCTGGGTCCAGGCCCTAATGTCCATACTTACTGTGTGGGGGTGTAAAGTACAGTAAAGGAAATATGGTCAATAACATTGTAATAACTATGTATAGCACCAGGTGGGTACTGGAAATTCCAGGGGGGTGGTGAGGAGAGGGGGAACATTTTGGAAAATATATGATTTTCTAACCACTATGCTATATACCTGAAACTATTACAAAATAATACTGAGTGTAAACTGTAATGGAAAAATAAATTTAAAAAATAAATAAAAGGAAAAAGAAAAAAAACCCCGCGTAACCTAATTACTCATTTCCCTAGTTCTCAGTTTTCTTCCCTCTTAAATGTATATCAAGTCAGGAAATACTTATCGAGAGTCTATTATGCATTAGGCACTGTTCCAGGTTGGGTGGCCACAGCAGTGAGCAAAACGGGCTAGACGTTGGCTCTCACAGCGTTATCTGTAGACAGGGAGAGGCTGTGCTGCAGGTGACAGTTTCTCTAGTACCTCACAGAGTAGGGCAGGGATCAAATCAGAAAACAACTGTAAAGCTTGGGAACATCCCTTAGTAAGTGAAAAATTTCTACTAACTACCATTATTGATTCTAATGAGTAATGTCTTCTAGAACATTGTCTGTGGTCTTTATAGCCAATACAGAGTCCCAGTGCTATCATTAGTAACCAGCATTCTGTTGAAGGGCCAGGTGTGCCCTAGTGGGCTCCTGTACCTCATCCCTCATTGCATCGAACTTGCCAACTGTCTATGCTTCCTGTACACAATGTCACTGCTGAACCTTGGGTGGGGGGAGATGCCCACGTCCAGGAGAATAGGTACTGAAACAGGTGCATAAAAGAATAAAGTGCTATAAATATGTTCTGTGCCACCAAGCACAGCTTGGACAAAAAACAAATAAAGCAAGCCCTGGCTGGCATAGCTCAGTGGATTGAGCGCGGGCTGTGAACCAAACCAAAGTGTCGCAGGTTCAATTCCCAGCCAGGGTACATGCCTGGGTTGCAGGCCACAGCCCCTAGCAACCGCACATTGATGTTTCTCTTTCTCTCTCTCTATCTCCCTCCCTTCCCTCTCTAAAAATAAATAAATAAAATCTTAAAAAAAAAACAAAAAACAAATAAAGCAATGTGAACGGTGTCCAGCCTACGCCAAAAGCTTTCCACCTCAACGCCACTAAGGTCTTGCTGAAGCCCTAAGGAAGTGGCAACTGGAGAACTCCTGCCACGTCTCCTTGAGTAAAAGTCAGTCTCCAAAACTTTCACAGAACATTTCAGGCCACCCCCCTATAGGAGTAGTAAGAAAAGGGTATCTGAAATAGACAGACAAGAAAAGCAGTAAATAGAAAGTAGCAGAAACCTGACCTGTCCCTGAATGGTTGCTTTGATGATGCTTTCGGCAGGTTCTTCCAGTTCTTTGTTGAGCTGGTCCCCCAACATCCGAAGGCGACCGGCAATGATGGCCACGTCAAAGGAGCAAGCCTCTCCTAAAACAGAGAGAACACAGTCCCGATTGTCACAAAGTTTGAAGGGAAGGCAAGTCCCAGGAATCTGGGCATTGGAGCAAGTTCTGCAGGCACGTAAACACTCTTGGCATCCCTCCCCGCCGAGAACATCTTCAATGTCCTGTCAAAGCCAACAGTCAGAAAGTCTCCCTTCGTGGAGAACCTCTTTCCCTTCCATAAAGACTCCAGGCATTGCTGAACGCTTCCTGGGTTTCCCTTTAGAAACTTCAATGGAAATTAGAGACCATACTCAGATTCTCCTGTCAACCAGCAATCGCTGCCTCGGCCGGCAGCCTTACCTGAATCCACTTCATCCGCACCACACAGGTTCCGGGTGGCAGTAGCCTGCGATGGTATGCCTAAGAAGTCTTCGAGGAGAAAGTTCACAATGCATTCCGTTTGCTCCTCAAAAGTCTGGGGGGTCTTCATTTTAGACATTTGCTGCCAAGTTTTGCTTTCCCGCCAAACTAGCAATTTGGAACTCAGCAGGAAGTCAGAAACGCTGTAAACCAGCACAGACGTCAGTGTCCCTGATGGGACATAAAATCCTAGAGCCCTCCCAGCCACCTTCCTTCAAAAACAGCTGCTCAGATACGTGGGGCTGCTCCAGAGGGCACACTGACACAGAACTGGGAACTTGGCTGAAGACTTTCAGTTCCTCGTCTCAAAACCACACCCTAGCCAGCATCTAAGATTAATGAATAACTTTTATAGATAGGTTGCCAATTTAAAACTGAAATAGAGTTGAGGAAGAACCTCTTGGGTAATTTTATTGAGAAATACTTCTTGTGTGGTTCAATTGTGGTATAACTTCAAAAAGGAAGGGTTTGCAGTTGAATAATAGGCATTCAGGTCTGGATGATTGCAATAATCAGTTGTATTCGCCATGATCAGTCAATATTTATTGAGTAGCTATGTCTAAGGAGCTCTACCTGGCACTACAAATAACACAGAAAAACGATCTAGACATAGTCCCCACCCCCCATGGCGCTAAAGTGTACTTCGGCATGAATGACACATTAAACAACTATACACAACTGCTGTGCTTACTGAGACAGAGTGTGTGATGAGTGTGTAAAAAGGGAACAAACCTAGGGGGTGAGGAAGGCTTCCTTGAAGTAGTAACACCCAAGATGAGCTCTGAGGCCAAGTGGCCGTTCGTTAGGCAGAGAGGAGGAGGAAGGCCATTCCAAGTGGAGGGAATGTGATATACAAAAACTGAGAAAGTTAAAAAACAAAGAAACAAACAAAATCTTGGGCATTTGAGGAATTAAAATGCAGATAATACAAAGTATTTCTCAGGGGTTAAATAAGATAATGTGGAATGACCCAGCAGCATCTGACCCATGTACAGTAAATGTTAAATTTCTTCTTTTCAGCCCAAGACCTAATGACCAGGATGAAGCAGATCTGGGATATACTCTCTAACAGGATAAATTAGGATTTTCCTAAAAGAGCTGGACTCTACCTACCCCTGTTTTACAAGATCTCAGGATTGGACACTCACCCACAATGGCTTCCTTCTGAGTGTAACTACATCTGGATATTGAGTTTGGGTGCCAGAAGCAGCACACAAATGTATCAGCTTTTCCGGAGTATTCTAACCTGGTGAATGAGTAAGAGATTCAAGCATAAATGCTAAGTCAGCTGCTCAGAATGCAATTTCTATCATGCAAAATAATCAGAGCCAATCTTCTGTTTTCTATTTCATTTTATAAAAATAAATGATTATAAACTGCTTTGGTCTAGGAACAGGGCCATTTTCATTTGTCATTATCTGTCACTAGGGTTGAAACATTGGTTATTACTAAGTAGGCTTCAGACCTCAAAGGTCAGAAGGTCCTTCAGAGATAATTCTAGGCCAACTGCCTGTCACATTAGAGCGAATCATTGACAATCTAAGGGTTCCAACAAATACATTGACATAAACCCAAAATAATACACAAAAGGGAAACACAACTATAAGAAACCATCCCAACTGGTGTAAAATAGCCTGCCCAACGTAAGTGGCAGAACAGAAATTTAAAACCAAGTCTGTTCTACTTCAAACAGTAAACCTTTCCCACAATAATAAGCCACCTTCCTCATTTCACCACTGATGTGCTTATGGACATAGCCACCTATGGTCTCCGATCTTGTATGCCTGATATTGCAAGGCTACAGACACGGAGTGTGCACTCTCCCAGGCACTATGGAGTCAATTTTCCTTCTTTGTTTATTTTTCTTTGGGCCTCCCAAACCATCCCCACTAGCCCAAATTCCCTTTACTCTTGTTTTTCTGATATTGTGCTCCTAATTATTACTGAAAAACGAGGACAGACTTTTTTCACTGCCACTTGCTTCTTTTGCCATTCGGGCCACAACAATGTACATCCCCCTCCCAAAGTCTCATCTCACTGTGTCGTTGGCTCGAAGTCCAGGACCTCGGTGTGTGCACCAGGCCTGCATGTGGGTGAGAGCTCTCAGGGACACTTCCTCTTAACGTGGAGACCTGGAACTAAGGAAATACTGGGTTGCCCAAAAAGTCTGGGTGTTTTTTTCCGTAAACTAAAAGACATGTTTTTCATTTTCACCAACAGCTCCATTGATTTGGCTGTTTTGAGAATGTCAGCTATCTCCCACATGGCATAATGTTGATTGTTCTCATTAATGTCTTAATTTGCTCTCTATCAACTTCAATTAGTCTATCCAACCGTGAAACATTGTCCAGTGAGAAAACTCCAGCATGAAACTTCACAAACTATTTTTGACACATTCAATCAGTCACAGCACCTTCTCCAGACACTGTACAAATCTTTTCTTGCCTTTTAGTTGCATTGTTATCTTTCTTGAAACAACAAAGCATAATATGCCAAAAATGTTGCATATTTTCTTCCATGTCCACATTAAAATAGCTACACCAATTCACCAATTCTGATTTTTTTTTAAATGCACATTGATATGACAGCTATAACAATGCAATCTAACAAAAATAGTTTTGAATGAAGTTAAAGACAACTAAGTGCCACTAGCACCATCTTACAGAAAAAAACAAATGTTACTTTTTGGCCAATCCAATAAGTTCTTTGACTCCCCAAACACCCAATATATGAGAAAGGGATAGAAAAAAATGTAACACAACTCCCACTCAAAAGGAGTGGAAGGGGAAGAGGGGCATGTAACAATACAATTGTGGTAAGGAACTATGCACATGATCTCCTTTGCAATGTTCCAAAGCTCCACTGTCATTAGATGTATTACATTCTATCTACCAACTAAGAAACATTCAAAGGCCATTTTTCTCAGAAGTACAGTATCATCTACCCTCATAGATTTAAAAAATAAATACCCAACATCAACATGTTACATTATCAGACCACATGTCTGCAGAGGCTAAAAAAAGCTCCAAGAGGCAAGAGATATTAAATAACTATATTTTAAGTGTGTGTGCATATATATATATATAAAATGTGTGCACATACATATAAATATTTATAATATGAGTGTGTGAGAATATATATATACACATATACATAGTTTAGTCATTTTGCTTATAAATTAGTAAAATTAGGCTATGGTTAAGAGAAATGAGTTCTTCACTGAGACCATCTTAAAATTACACTTCCAATAGCAATAATTTCATATTGTGCTATGTCCCTTACATGACAGAAAATGGACCGAGTAGAACAACTTACTCTTCTAAGAACTCCAAAAGCTGGGATTCCTTCAGTAACATTTATTCAGTTGCTGAGCCATACCTAATTTTCTTTAGGTCAAACTTTTAATTATAGTCTTTAATTTTAAAAAAAGTCAATCAGTTTCCTTAATTTCTACCACCTACATCCTGTCCCCTTGCAGCACTTCAAATGGGCAGCATCCTGAGCTTCACTTTCGTTTAATGGAACAAGTCGGAATACGGAAAAGCAGTTCTGCAGCGGTTCTGATCCTGGTATTTCCAGTCCCTGTGCATCCACCATCTAGAGATCAAGTGTTCCCAACTAGGGGTCATGTTAGCCCCCAGAGCACCTTTGGCAACATCTGGAGATACTTTCAGTTGTCACAACTGCGGGTTCTATTGACATCTAGTGGGTAGATGCCAGAGATGCTGCTAATAATCGTTCTATAATAAATAAAGTCTCCCACAACAAAGAATGATTTTGCCCCAAATATCAATAGTGCCAATTTTGAGAAACCCTAGTCAAGATGGAATCCCATTATTTTCTTCATAGTTGATACAATATAACAAAACATACTTCAAGCACCAATCCCAAAACACCATCAGAATCTGACTTCTTAGACCATTCCTTCAATAAATACCTGAGTGATCACTAGGTGGCAGACATTGTAAAGGAAACAAAGACCATCGCTGTCCTTAGAAATTGCACAGTGGGAACAAACAGCTTGCAAAATCCAAGTCCTGACCCTAAATTCGATACTGCCTGTTATCTACGCCTATTAAGAGCCTAGCTGGGAGGAGAAATGGGTGAAAAGTTATTTGGAGGATATGGGCTCCAGCAGTCATGTGAAACCCATTACTAACTTCCCATGGGAACCTTATACATGTCACTCAGCACAAGGTTCTGAGTATATGAAACTACCTGTCAATCAGAATCGTAATGTTCCTTCCTTTCTGCTGACAACTGTGTAACCATTTGTCTCCACTCTGACGGCCGACCACTTACAGAGCTAAATCTGCCGCTCAACTGTATCAACTGTGTGGGCCCTCACCACAGTGTATTTCCCCATTTCCAGCCCAGCTGGTCCTAACTAGTATTTTCATTTTTCCTGTTCTGGATTCTCTAGTTATTTCTATCTTACCGTCATTTTATTAAATCTGTTCTTGTACCCTGGCTGCTGTAGCTCAGTGGATTGAGTGCGGGTGCGAACCAAAGGGTCACTGATTCAATTCCCAGTCAGGGCACATGCCTGGGTTGCTGACCAGGTCCCAGTAGGGGGCATGAGAAAGGCAACCACACATTGATGTTTCTCTCCCTTTCTTTCTCCCTCCCTTTCCCCCTCTCTGAAAAGAAAATCTTTTAAAAAAATGAATCTGTTCTTGCCTTAAGTTGTCTCAATTAATACATAAAGTGTCGTCAGGTATAAATAGAATTAACAGTGAGAGAAAGCTGCAAGATCAGAGATCAGAGACCCTTCTGGGTAGACGGAAGATGTGCTGAGACCCCAGCACTGAAAGGCACTGGGTGGAGCTGCTGCAGGAAGGCATGTGAGGAGACGCAGGGAGGGAGACCCCTCCGGGCACACCCACAATCAGAGCACGAGACCACAGAACCCCTCGCTGTCGGCTTGTTCCCTGCACACCATCCCTTGTGCTATAACCGTGAGTTATTCACGGCCCTGTGCCCACCGAGGTAAAAAGGCCGATGCAGGCTTCTAGAACCAGTCTGGGCTAGTGCAACTGCCCTCAATGCCAGGAACCCCTGGGAAGTGGGGAGACAAACTTGGAATGAAGGAAGTAAAGACGACTAGCTACGTGGCAGAGGTCATGGGGCAGGAGCAGGAGTGAGAGCCCCATGGTCTGCACAGCTGCATCCCCCACCCCATGTCCCCTGGCATGCTGCCCCCTCCACCGCACCGCCTCTGGTGACTTCTGTGACTCCAGCCAGTGCCCGAACGGTGGGACCTGCTTGTTGGGCCAGGAC